TAATCTGAAATTCTCCAAAATCTGAGTCTTTTTGAGTGACAACACACCTCCATAAGTGGAAAATTCCACAGCATGAAATTTCCTTTCATGCACAAAATTATTTAATATGCTGTGCAAAATCACCTTCAGGGTATATGGATAAGGTATATATGAAACATAAATAAATTTCATGTTTAGACTTGGGTCCCATCCCCAAGATCCCTCACTATGTACATGTTCCAACATCTGAAGAAATCAAAAATCTGAAACCCTTTTGGTCCCAAGCATTTTGGATAAAAGATGTCCAGCCTTGAGTATAGAATACAGTCAAGAAATGGGATCCTGACCTGGATTTGGTTGGACCACAGTAACTTTTATTTCAATATTTAGTTATGTTTGCTCGTATTTTTCACATATATTGTTTCCTCCCTTATATCTCTAAGAGATAAAATATTATTCTTAATTAGTAAATTTCTTCATTAACATGTATTGGGCCTATACTTTGGATAAGTTACCATCTGGAGTGAAATCAGTGTCCTTGTCATGAAGTCCCCAGACCCTGATTGGTGGCAAACTTGAATGGCTGGATAGGTGCTAACATCAGTTAAGGGAGTCTAGTAGGACAGCAGAGCATTGTGGGGRCGGGCGCACTAGGAAGTGTGTGGGCTTCCCCAGAAGGGCACCTGATGCTCAGTTTCCGCTCATGTTGCCTCCATGTGGACTTGTGTTGGCCAGGTTGTCTGCTTCATGAAAGTTCTTCATTTTTAACATCAAAAATAAATTTTAAAAATCACATGCTGCCATAGCTAAAGAACATAAATGCCAGTTAGATGCAACACAAAAGCTAGAAAGAGAAGTAACTAGATGAGACAGTGAGAGTAAGTCCAGGGTATCCCTAGCTAGATTTAAGGAGATGCCAGAGACCTTAGACAAGACAATTTGGCCRGACAGGCATTGCAGACAGATCTCGTCATCTGCCCAGCCAATGAGGAATGAAACTTGGCGCTCCTTCTCCCCAGCAACACTCCCATAAACTGCAGCCTCTGAGACCTTGCCCCTTTGCCTGTGGACACACCAGCACAGGTATTTGTGATTTTAGTCAAGGAAGTGCAAGGGGTGTGCATTTATAGCACCTGTTGGATTTCTGTCTCTTTTAACGGAGGCCAATTACGACGCATTTGCATTAGTAATCATTCACTCAAATGAGCAGACTGAGCAGCTTTATTTGATAAGGAGCCACTTTTGGTGCAGCTGAACAGGATGTTTGCCAGCTCTGTGCTTTAGGTTCATGTCCGTTCTTTAATGCTTGCCTGGTTCTCCAGATACTGCCAGCCTGCTTAGTATTGCTGAATGGCAGACAGTGCTGCAGAAATTCTATGCTACTAGCTTAGAGTAAGGCAGGCATTATTAGCCTTTAAGTGCTTATCCAGGGCCAGTGTATCTACACATGTTCTGCAAAAGTAGATGCTAGATGGTTAGTAGATGTTGTCTGGTCTGGATATTTTGGTAGACTGTAAAAACTCCAAAGGACAGACCCATTTTACATACAATCATTTGTATGATTCATGCCAGTCCCAAATAAATAGAACTCTCAAACATATAGAAGCATTTTTCTATCTTTGGGCCAGATTCTGAACTTAAAAGCAATTTCAACAAATAACCTTTTTATTACCTTATTTTTATTTTAAATATCATTACTTACACACTGTTATTTTATTAAATTTTCCTTCTTTTATGAGAGCCAAAGAACTTCATCAGGAATTTCATTTTATTCCAGGAAATTCAAGGTCACACTCATAACACCCCACMAGCTAAATTGTTTATTTCTAAAATGCTCGTTGGCCAGGCTACATTCAAAGACATTTAGGAGACCACCACCCCAGCTAAGCTGTGAACTGCCTATAAGTACAACCTTTTGGTATTCTCCTTAACCTAATGCTGTCTTCTTTCAGGCTCCTGATAACTGCTTATCCAAAGTTGGTTGAATAAATAGATAAATAGTTAAATGTATTATTTGTCTTATATCTATCATCAGTTTTTGTTGATGAAATTCTACTGTCCCTAATGGAAGGTGTCAGTAGTATACAATCCTCCTGACTTGAAACCCTTTTTGGAATCACCAGGCATGAATTTAGTTTGATTTTTACCAGTTCTAGTATTTGTGTCTTTTCACCTTCAGTTTTTTTCTCCCATCATATGGGGGTAAATATATTCTTGAAAGTATGGTATTAAGGAGAAAAAGTTAGGCTTTTTATAAAGCTTTAGTATAGTATTTAACATCATAAATGCTTTGTTTACACCTTGAATTCTGARTCTTCCTGTGCTTTCTGCAGGCCTATAGTTCTAGAATTCTAAAAGTAGCCTGCCACTTGTTAGTGGCCATCAAGTGTCTCTTATTGGTCTCACAGGTTGCAGTCTTCAAGGACTGTCATATATATTGGCTCGTTTGATCCTCAAGAATAATATCACAGCATGAAGGACAATAGTTGCTAACACTTCAATAACACTGAAAATGTTCCAGAAAGTTAACTCTCGGTTAATTGCTTTATGACTGGTAAACTCACTCACTCCTCAYGCAGTCTCAGGAGGTGGGTACTATCACACTGCCCAATGGAGAGGTGAGGAACTGAGACTCCAGGTGAAGTAGCTTGTTCAGATTCATGCAGATAATTAGTGATGCTCCCAATAACAACAGCAACACAAACATCAGCAACCATCACTAATTAAGATTTATTCTGGGGCCTGGGGTTGTGGCTCAGATGGTAGAGTGCTCACCTAGCACATGTGAGGCACTGGGTTCCATCCTYACCACATAAAAATAAAATAAAGATATTGTATCCACTAAAACTAAAAAATAAATTAAAAAAAAAAGATTTATTCTGTTCTAGCCATTGGGTTAGCACTTTTTGTGTATTCTCCCAGTTAATTCTCACTACACCCTATGAGACAGATTCTATTTTTATCTCTTTATAGAGATATAGTCTTGGTGTAATCTTGCTAAGAAACACTTCACCATTTGTCTTCTGCATGTACGGATTCAGTCTATTGAGCTCTTTTTCTCTTATTGGTGTAAATGCTTTGGCATTGCAGGTTGAAAACCTCTAACCCAAAATTCAAAGACCTCCCAAATCTGAACCTTTTATRAGTGCCAATATGACACCAAAAGTRGAAAATTCCATACTGAAACTTTCTTTCATGTGCAAAATTATTAAAAATACTGTAAAAAATCACCTTTAGGCTATATGTATAAAGTATACATGAAACAAATGAATTTATTATAGAGACTGGGGTCCCATACCCCAAATATCTCATTGCATATATGCAGATATTCCAAAATCCAAGAAAATCTGAAGTCTGAAACACTTCTGGTCTTAAACATTTCATATAAGGGATAATCAATCCGTGTACCCTTTTTTTCATATTAATTTTAATCTTACATAAATTAGAAGCATTTAACTTTTAGAAATGACATTTTTCAATATTTAGGACTATTTCCATAAAGGGATAACCTTAAATATATGTTTCATAGAATGTGATTGTATCTTTTGACCAGCTCCCCCACCCCAACCCTTTGTCTACACAAGCAGTAAGGTGCAAGGTTGGATAGTTGCCAAAAGACCTTGAAATATGTCAGGAGAGACAAAGCTACCACCAAGAAGCTGAAAAAGTTTAGTTTCGCTCAAAATGGACCATTCATTCAACTAATGTAAAGTGATTCTCCTTGCCCTGGCAATGTGACCTGCTAAGGCAGCTGAAATGACACCTCTGGGTTTGGCACCCTGGGGCGGCCTGCAGGCTCAGCCCTCAGGGGCTTTGCCACCAGCAGCTGACAGCAGCCTGCCCAGCATGGATTCCTCTGTTGTTGTTTTTGTTACTGTTTTCCTTGAACTCTTTGGCCCATCATTCTGGTTTTTTGGTTCTCTGCTCTCATTTCTTTCTAAGGAATCAAATGATTGCTGGGGCCTCTCATAAGTTTAGGAAGATTCCACTTTAGAAGAAACCAAACCATTGTTTTTCTACCTGATAAATGGGGCCACTAGATGAGGCTTTCCTTATTTATTTTTATTGTCTTCTTTTGAATTGGCATATATTTGTGAACGAATCCAGATTTATTTCTGTTTTGGATCACTGCTGATGAAAATTAAAAGGCTGGGTTTATCTTTTATTGAAATGTTGATCAGTGCCTCCCATTGCATCACTTAGAAGTGACTTCTGCATGTTTCAATAACATGAATGTTGATTTTTCTGCCAATACATAATTTGCACAGTGCTGCTTTAGGGAAGAATTTACAAATGCTCAATCTTAACTGTCTGCTCCATGGTGGAGATGAAGCATCCAAGATCCAAGTATGGTGATTTTATTCAATAGAGTCCATTGTATTGCAGGGTGTATGTGACCCAGTAGAACAGGGACCCAAGAGCCACCCTGCTCAGGTTTGCATCCACTTCTACTTCTTACTAGCAGAGTAATCTTAGCAGGTTATCTAGCCCTCTTGCTGTCTCAGTTTTCCCATTTCTAAAATGGAAAGAATTATAGTATTGACTTTCTAGAGTAGTTGCAAGGATTAAATAAGCTAGCATGCTAAAAATAGTACCTGGCTCACAGTGCTTAGCAAGTGTTGTTATTTTATCACTGTTATTATCCTGTTGGCACCGCCTGAACTCATATAAATGGAAGGTTTATAAATCACTGTTTGAATGTAATTCTCTTCTGTATGAAAAAGATTGGACACTGTAAAGACCTGAGTAGAAAATAATGGCAGGTATTACCTAAGAATTCAGAGTCAGTAGTTATGTGTGTAATATGTGAGTAAGCACAGTACCATTCTCATCATCTAAACTTTAAATTTTAAAGAATTACATATTGTCTATTGTATCTTTTTAAAAAGTGGTTCCTTTTAAAACCCAAGTAATATTTAGAAGTCCAAACATATAGAAAATGGTAGAAATTATAGGGCAAATACAGAGCCTAGTCACTAAAGCTTTTGGTGTTAACTGTATCTTTCTTATCTTTGATTTAGAACGCTTCAGGGATAACTACATTTGATAAGAGCAATGGCTTTAAAAGTACCACTAAACCAAGAGAAAACATTCTTCACCATTATGCTTTTACTAGGCTGTTTGGTAAGTAAACTTTCCTTTCTTAAGAATGTGGTAAAAGATTCATATAAGATCGTTTTCTATTTCTCATCCCATACAATTTTCCTTTCTTTCAAATTGCATTTGATCATTTTTGCATTTGATTATCAAGTGAAAGGGTGCTGCTAAGCTGTGAAATTTTTAACAAGTATTGAAATTATTTTATTTAAACTTACATGAAGTCATAAAATTGCTTTGTTATAAATCCTGGATTTATAGACACCTATCTCTAACACATCCTAGACTCCAACAAGATCATAAATTCTGACTTGGAGTCTTTGACTTAGAGTTTATGAATACCCAGGCCTGGGTTCAATCCTCAGCACCACATAAAAATAAATAAATAAAATAAAGTTTTTTTTAAAAAGTAGTAAAGGCATATAGGAAATTTTAATGTTTGAATGTGTGACAAGATCTATGAAGGTATTCAACTTATTTAATATTGAGATTTAACAAGGATGTACAAATATAGCGAGAATTATTTGCACTGAACACAGTACCTAAAATCATGGAAGACAATTTAAGAGGAAATGGGATCAAATTGGAGTCTGGAATGTATGTAGATGTAAGGAACATTTCCTTTCTGTTCCTTAAAGTTGTTACACATTGCAGAAATGGCCTAGGAGGGAGATGGTAGAATTTCCTTCTCAAAGAAATTACAGTCTCTGTATAAAAAGGGAAATTCCTACTCTTTAGGTAAAATCAGTCCACCAATATGGTAGTTAGGTGGAGTTAAAAGAAGTAGGACAAGATTATTAGACCTTTAACCCCCAAGAATTTTTCTAGTCCCAGCCCTTACCTTGCACTTTCCCTCCCACTGGACATGGAGAKTCAGACTTTGACTTTATTTAAGGAGGCTGGTGGATATCATTACAGATATTCCTACTTGGTAAGGGTGTTTTTAGAGAATGATTGCTCCTTATTGTAAGCATCAAAAACAGTTTTCTGTGCACCTGTGTGTGATAGGCATTAGACACAACAGTGTCTGTTCCCACAGTACTCCCTAAGGTTTTCATTTTCACTTAGGAAAACAAAACTGAATGTCTTGACCAATCCTGAGATGCTATTAATTCCAACACTTTTAATAAAATATTATCTGTTAAGAAGCAGGTAAGCATATTTTTGAAGGATGATAGAAATAAAGTGAACTTATTTTTTGGGAAAATAGCTTATTTTGGAAAATGACCTACATCCTTTGTTTTTTTGCCAAAGGGTGGTTACTTCATTTAAGACGTATTCTATGAACTAAGTATATAACTAGGTCCCAGGAAATGACTTTGCATAATCAGTAAGGATGTAAGTTCATGTATAGGTAGCACTTTGGCTTTGAAGAATTCAGAGAATTTGGCCATTCTTATCATCTACAACACCACAACTACCATCATGAAGCATTTTAATGGTCTCATGATTGCCAGATAATATTTTTTTATGATCTCTAAGTTAATGGAGTACAGCTGGAAAAGTTGAAAATTCTCCATCAAAACCAAATGGCAGATATATCTCAAGGATCATTGTAAGTTCTTGTGGCTATGTGCATATATTCCATCTACTTATTCAATTTATTATACTTAAGTATGTTTATATTTCTTGAAAATCAAAAAATTTGGTTATTTAATTCAGATTTTTTTAGGTAGCAAAAGGACCTTAGGTCTCTGCAGGGCTATTCTTTAATATGTTGTCTTAGAAAAAACATCATCCCCTAGGTCAATTTTATCCTGAGTCCTCAGAAGAATATTAGAGGAAGTAGTTAATTCCAAGAAAAGGGGACGCCATTCTATAAAGAGTGAATGAATATTCTGTATTCTTTGGAATACAGAAAATAATTATTAGGTTTATTGATTTTTACTTGTTCCACTGACTCACTCAGAAAGTGGTTTTTCTTTTTAAAGTGAAAATTAAATTGACCTCACTCTAAGTTGATATTTACTCTCAGCGATTATGTGACTAATGGTGAAGATATTATTCCTTTCTTGCAAACAATATAATGAAAGTACTTTAAGATAATGTTTGTGAAACATTTTATTCCTAGTCATGTAAAGTCATTTGCGAAACCGGAGACTGCAGACAACAGGAATTCCGGGACCGGTCTGGAAATTGCATTCTCTGCAAACAGTGTGGGCCAGGCATGGAGTTGTCTAAGGTACATTCTGGATATGTGGTAAAGTTGTATATCTGTATTTGTAAAATGCATTGTTTTGAACTAAATTCTTTTAGTTAATTATTAGTGAAGCTTTGGATACTATTGACAGAATTCTTGTTTCATTGTGTCATTTAGTCATATATTATACAATTCCCATTTTAATACCTCTGATTCATGTGCCTTGCCAAGATAGATAGGATCTAAAAACTGAAATTCAACAAATGTTATTGGTTTACATAATTAAGTGTTTATAGTGTTTCATTGAAAGAATTACATTTTTAAGGTCTTTGGGGTTTAATTTTTAAAAAAATCAATGTTCTTCTGAAAACTTAAAGCATTCATAACAGAAAATGGTGATGTTACCATTTACTGGGGCTTCTTTATTTTAAACTGAATGTTACCATTGCTAGTCAGGAGACAGTCCAGCATTGGCCTAAATAAAGATGCACCAAGGTAGCAGTTCTTTTCCAAACTAGCATTTTGAACATCCCTTTAACAACTCAAGTATTATTAGTCTTACTACTCTGAGGGTATGTTACTTCCAGGAGTACTTTAAATATGTTCATTTAAACTGGTATTTATTAAGAAATAGTGAGTTATAGCAGGGCTTATTATATTTCACAGTCTTGCTTATTCAGAACTGTGCATTAATTTGCTTTATTTTTTGATCTTTGGAAGATGTTACTGGTGGTGAAGAATTGGTGTAATATTTTGTTCTAAGTGAAACATCAAACCCTTCCTGTTAGAAAGGGGACAATAGGTTTTTCTTTTTATTTAAAGTGACTTTTAAAGGAGAAGTTCTTTTCCTCTAGGACTACCATTATTTAAAGTTGAGTCTTGTCTTTCATAGATTTTTGATCAATGACCTATAAACAGCAGGAAACAAAGAAACATGCATTCCACAAGTAGGTGGTGGTAGATGGCTTTTCTCTGTGGTTGTTGTGTTATGTGAGCAGTGGCTTTCAGTGTCTTGAGCTTTTATATTTGGATTGAAACTGACTGACTTTCAAGCTCTCTGACGGCTAGTTAATTATAGCATCTCAATAGATATTTTTCAATCTCTACTGATTGTAGTAACTTGCATTTTGAGACATGGGTTTTACCAGGTTGGATGGGGAAAGATTCATTTGTAGCAGACCTACTTACCTAGGATCAGTGAACTGAGTAGTTAAAAATGCCCTAGGGCCAAGAAGAAAATAGTTGAGGATGTTTCTAACCCCGAAAAGGCCTTCTTTTCCTAAATCTCTGTGAAAAGTCCAAATGAAACCTTCCAGAGTCTGAGAGATGAGTAAATTATTTCTAAGAAGTTGTTCTCTTCTCTTTATCCTTTGAATCTGGAGAATATAACCTTAAAATAATTCGACCAGAAGATGATGATCCAATCAGCCCTGATTTTTTAAATGAAAAACAAAATTATTTTTCTAATTTATAAGTCCCACGTGTTAGGAGCTTGTATAAAAACTGAACAAGCTGAAAAATCGGTTCTTAAAAACAGTTCTTCTCCGATCTGTAAGAGAAGTAGGGTCATAGGAAAAACTACTGTCCCTAGTTGGGCAGATACAGAGAATCACAGTACACTGCAGCAGAAACCTCCTTGGGCACTCTAGATAGAGTACTGAGCAGGAAAACCTGAACTTGAACTAACAAATTGCCAGAGCCTAGGTATAGAAAGTTCCCAGAGTTCAAAACTCCAGAGGAAGCCCAGTCACAGAGTGACCTACATGCTTTTGTTTTACCTCCAACATAATCAGAATCTCACAGTAAATATCAGAAAACTCACTTCATTCTTCCCGCAGGGAGAGAAGAAAAGGAACTGTCCTGGAGAGAAACCAGTTTGCCAGAGAGTAACTTGCTGGGGTTTTACCAGAGCCTAAGTGACCTGGGGAAAAGGAGATACTCAACTCCAGCCCACTCTGTCCGTTGTGTCCCATGATAAGGTGGGGTGTGAGGAACTTGAAATACTTGTGAACTCTGCAGTCCAGGGGCACAGGCCTAATCACAGACATATAGAATGCTTCCCCTCCCCTCCTGCCTTATCTCCACAGCACCTGAGCCCTGTTTATAGCCATTCTTTTTACCCTGTACATCAGACATTGATTCTAACAAAAAACTACAAGGCATACTAAAAGGCAAAAAAGCAAGAGGGAAAGCGTCAGAATCAAATGCAGCAGATTCAAAACAACTATGATTAATATGCCATAATGAATAAAATAGATATTATGCARGCATAGATGGACAGTGTAAGCAGAGACATGGACATCCTTAGAAAGAATAAAAAAGAAAGTTAGAGATCCAAGACTCTAACAGATATGAAGAAGGCCTTTGATGGGCTTATAAGTAAACTGGTCATTGCTTGGCAAAAAAAAAAAAAAAAATCTCTGAGCTTGAAGATTTATCCATAGAAACCTCAAAAAAATAAAAATTAAAAGATTGAAAAAGAAAGAACAAAATATCCAAGAATTATATTACAGCTTCAAAAGGCATGAACATGCATAATGAGAAAACCAGAAAGAGAGAAAGGACCAGAAGACATATTTAGAGCAATATGACTTAGAATTTCTACAAATCGACATCAGACACYAAGCCACAGATCCAGGAAGGTCAGAGAATACCCAGAAAAATAAACACCCCCAAAAAACCTGTACATGGGCATTCCATTTTCAAACTATAGGAAAAACAAAAATTAAAGGAAAAGTCCTGAAGAAGYTAGAGGAACCTTACCTACAGAGGAKCGGTGATGAGAGTGACATCTGACTTCTCAGAGAGCATGCAAGCAGGAGGAAAGCAGAGGGAGCAGGAGGAGGAGAGGGAACTATTTGAAGCGTTGAGAGAAAATAACCACCAATCTATAGAATTCTGTACCCCATACAATTATCCTTTAAAAATGAAGAAGAAATAAAGACTGATGGAAGTGTAAAGATGAATCCACTATTATAGATGGAGACTTCACCACCCCTCTGTTAGAAATGGACAACTTCTGGCTGGGGATGTGGCTCAATCGGTAGCGCGCTTGCCTGGCATGTGTGCGGCTCGGGTTCGATCCTCAGCACCATATACAGACAAAGATGTTGTGTCCGCCGAGAACTAAAAAAATAAATATTAAAAATTCATTCTCTCTCTCTCTCTCTCTCTCTCTCTCTCTCTCTCTCTC